TGTAAGGGTCACCTGCTGCATGAAGTGCCAGCAGTCGGACACCCCCGAGAAAGCATGCCGCGCGTCCGCGATTTTACTTGCGCAAGTGCGGAGGAGAAACCGGACACGGTAAGGCGGACTGCAAATCCGATGTTGTCCGTTGCTGCGCGACATGCACGCGCGCGTAGGAAGGAGGCCACCGGCAACCGACCCCGCCGCATGGGACGGCCCAAACGCTTTTTTGCGGAACAGCAGGCAATCAATAGGACCCAATATGCTGAACACGCCAAGTTGGACAATGAACCTACAATCAGAGCTGCGACCACCGAGCTGACCAGTAGTTGCAGGAGAGCTGGTTGGATTCGTGGATGGGAGCCAGGAGCAACATGCCTACCAGGATTTATCAGCACGGTCCAACCCAATGGGCCGCATTCTAACGATTCAACCAGGGTCTAGCATTCACCTTTTTGCAGCACCTTAGCTTAGTAACGATTCACTTGTGCAGTACGCATTGTCTGTAATCGGATAACAATATGTACGTCATATCCGCTTACTGTCAGTACAGTCATGACATCTCTCGCCACCTGCCGCATCTTGTTGTGTTGGAGCGGTTGTCTGGATCTCCGTGCTGATTTTGGGACAGATAGTAACGCCCACTCTCGCTGTGCTGTGCATTGCGACCGCAGGCATATGTGGGACGGGTCACGACAGTGAGTACCGCAGAAGAAACCAATGGAGGGGGTATTTGAATGCCTAGATCCGTAATCTTATGATGTACGAACAACGTAGAATGGGTCAGCCGGGCCCCACGTGAATATATAGCACGTCTGAATGGCTCGAAGTCCAACGGTGGATATTACGTTTTTCACCCAGAGGAATCATTGTCACACTAGTGGACAGTTCACTAAGTTACACTCAGCCTGATTGAATCAACCAATTTATCACATTCAGTAGTTTGCTGTGGTAGTTGGGCGAAATGCACGAAATGATACAGAATACGGGAAAGGGGGGAAAGAAAAGGGCAGTAAAGACTGCCTGATGTTGCATAGGAAACGAGAGTACACTGGAATGGCTTTTCTCTTCATTGAATGCACGCCACGATATGGAACGCGGCTTATGTCTGGCGTCGCGACCTGTCACAATGCACGTGTGTGGTAGCAGGGTAACAAACTGAAATACTTGTAAAAAAAACAGCGGAAGACGTTCTTGCGAACCTGGCGTGTAAGAAAGAGCGAAGGAGGGCTTAATGAATGTTGGGACCCCAGAACCTGTATATACTGCGAAGACTAAGGCGTCTATCGGGTATCTCTGGTATCCCGGCGTCACTCCGCAACGTGTGGTCAAGCCTCCGGGAGTAAAGGAATGGTGTGGCTGACGAACCGAGAAGAAGGACTGCTCCGCGAACTAACTTCGCATCTGTCGAATAGTGAATAGAAGGAGAGGCCATTAGGGATGACACTAGGACCTGCCCCTGTTTAGGGGAAAAATAGATCGCGATGACTTCTTGGGCAACGATGACACCCGTTGGGGTCAAATCGCGTACCTTCACTGCCAGCTGTGCGCCTTCAACTCAGAGCCCCACGACAGAATTGTTTTCTGAAGCAAGGAATGAATCTCCTTGGATTGTTTTCTCGGACTGACACCACTTTGGGAGGCACCATTACAGTGAAAATAGCCCTGGTCCTTGCTAGAAGTGTCATGTGTGGCCCCATATGATGATGGCTAAACGTGGGCTAGGCGGGAACTGGAACTGTTAGAACTTGGAAACTACCCGCCCCCTTCCTGGTCCTCCATTAATCCAGCGCACTCCTCCTGCGTCCCGGCCAGTCGTATACCGCTTAGACGACGAGGGGCTTCGTACATCACTGATAGAATCTCCATTGTGGTTCTTCTCTCTAATCCCTTCCCTCTTCTCCCGCTTCCTAGAGAGTAGCCCCTTGATTTCTCGATCTTTTTCTCTGTGCTCAGAGGGAACGTCGCACCCTATCGTTCCTGCAGAAGCCTGGTAGACCACTGGCGAACGAAATCTATCTGGCACATGCTGAGTAGGGGTGGGGCGCTGCCTCACTGGAGGAGTGGTTCTCCAAGAGATTTGTGGAAACGTCTGGCAACGTATATCGTAGTGTTGACCGAAAAAGGAAAACGCCCAAAGCCGCCTGACGGACCCGAATGACACTATCGTCCTAGGGATCACGTTACTGGACTCTAGGCTAAAGGATCCTGTATAAAGTTGGTGTCACCGATTTCTCGAGAGAGTGATCAGGATCATCGCTTGCGCTCCTTCGTTTGGGACATCGCGGGGTGTCATATCTAACGAACCCAACACGAAAAAGGTTCACACCGAGGGCGTGATCGACCTGTTACGCTTTTAAATGCAATAAAGAGATTACTAGCGGCTGCAGGCGAGAAATACGTGCAGTTGATCTTTCTGGATATCTCTGGGCCTTCGACAATGCATGGTGGCCTATAGATCCTCCTTAAGGCTAATCATACAGGTAATTCCCGGGGAATACTATCGATTCTTGTCAGCTACTTCACAACCGTAAGGTAGGACTATTTGCTGGAGACCGTTCGCAAACGTGGAAGGTTTTTCGACCATGGGCTTGTCCGCAGAAGGATCTGTTGCTTGGCCCGACACTCTGGAACCGTCCTCCTCGGATGACCTCCTCAGAGGTTTGCCGAAGCCCAGTGGGGGTTCATGATTGCCTACGTAACTACGATGTGGACCATTGGTGATCGATCCCTCTTCTCGCGTCGGGATGAGGGCGAGCGGCAGGCGGCGACGCGTCTTGGACCGTGGACTTTTTCGGGGAATGGGGCCCGGGTCTCACAGACTTGGGCTTCACTCTTCCGGTGAGAGGTCTTCAAAGTGACGATTACACTCAAAGAAAGAGGTTCACGCGGTGTCCGGTGATTAAGATGGACTGCGCTTTCGATCACAACAGTGTCGCCTGCTAGGGTGCGTGGCGTAATTCTGGATGATGGCGCGATCCTAACGTGCAGCATGCCTTCATACATTGTCGAAAGAGCGGAACGCAGACGCACGAATCCGCGCCGCGAGTTTCGGTTCCGTATCGCGTCGGGGGCTATAACGCGAGCGCCTATATAACAAACGAAAACTATGTGCGTTGGTGCTCTGAGATGTGGCCGAGCGTCGACTACACCAATCGAGGTTCGCTTATTTCCTAACGATAATATAGAACTGTAATTTTTATAACCGCTTTTACACACCCGCATCACGATATCCTAGAAAACCACGATTACCCTCCGCGGACGGTCGGAATCACTTGGCTGCGGCGGTCCGATGAAGAACCAGGTGCACACCTGCGCGTCATAGTGTGAACTGAAGGGACACATTCTGAACATCGACCACTTTCGAACGCACATTTGCGGTTCAGCGTGCGAGAAAGATCAGGACCATATCCTGTATGAAGGCGCACCGGCTGTTAAAAACATATACCACACTGTTTCTAAACGGTGCATCATAGCTATCTATTCCGATATGCACCGCCGCGGCGTAAACGCAATGACGGTTTTTCTTTTTGACCGGTAACGCGATCGCGTCGATCGCCATCGTTATACGGCACCGCCGTGATCGCTTACGATGCTGGATGCTCGGGGGCACGTCGGCGGTTTTGAGACCGCCGTGCATGAAGTTTCGATCGCTTTCAACGATTTAAAACCGTCGAACGAAACGGCGGATCCGTTTACAAATATTTTATATACCGGATGTTATATCCATGTATAACGGCAATGAACAAAAACGAAAAGCGCCCATACTAGAGACCGTCCCTTCGGGGTTGCCGATATCGCGACTCTTCGACGTGATGAAAAAGATACCAAATTCGACAGAGGGCGGCCGTGCATCGTGGTCAGTGACTCGGTTTGCTCACATCTTCGGGTTTCGTACAGCGCCGTGTATCATGTCATTAATAAAGCTAGGCGGAGCTCGACTAGTCCGAAGAGCGCTTTCGTCGTAGTCCGAGAGAGCGCTTCGCCTACTGGCGACGCCGTCTCGGATCTCGCGGCCCGTGTTTTGTTGAACATAATATGGCGGGACGATTGACGTTTCTGTTCTGGGCGTCCAGTTCCGGTGTCCGTCGGTTGCCGTTTCACGCCCCGACGGATATCGTCCTGCACCTGCCTCTGATTTTTTATCGTTGGGCCTCAGCATCAGGGAGGATTCACCCGACCGAATTTAAGCCACTACTTAGTAAGGCGGCGAATGCAAAAGCAAACTAACACACGGGAACTTCCTTTAGTAGCGGACGAGCGAACAGGCATATGGATCCCAGCCACTGGATCCACTCCCGCTCGGACCGTTCTCCGAACGAGGGGAGATGATGTGGTGTTGGGACCGGTTCCGCTTTCTCGTGTCCGAACCTCCTGTCCATAGTATAGTCTTGAACCGGGACACGTTTCCCCGCATAGGGTGCCCACGGCCCGTAGCGACGGAGGGTCCCGGCGCGAGGAGGGACATCTAAGAGTCGGCGTGGCTGAGAGTGCGCCCTAAGTGGTGGTCGTAAAACTCCATCTAAGGACTACAATTATTACCGCGAGGATCCGAGTAGCCGAAAAGTACCTGCGGGAAAGTTGGAAAAGAACTTTGAAGACGAGAGTTCAGAGTACGTGTGAAACCGTTCAGGGGTAAACCTGCGAAACTCGAATGAACGAAGGAGAGATTCATCGTCATCCGAGGCGTCGCATTCGCGATCTGATGGGCGTCAGTCCCTTAATCGGCTCGCGGGCATCACAGGCCCGGAGGCGGCGACGTCCGCGGACGGCGCGCACTTCTCTCTAGTAATTACATCGGACCGTTCGACGTCGGCCGAAGCGCCGTTCGGGAGTCGAGTCGTTCCTTCTCAAACGGGAACGATGGACCGTGACGGTGGCACGACTGACGTTAGGACGGTGAAGAAGAAGACGAATCGCGCACGCGCACCTAGCGAGTGCCGGCCCCGACGCAAGACAACGTCGTCATCGAGGTCCTGCCGTTGTGCGGAATCGGTGCGGGAGTCTGTTGCGCCAGCCGTGCTGTCTCGGACCGTGCGCGTATCAGTCGGCGATTGACTCAGTTGCGGGCAACCGCAGGACCCGTCTTGAAACACGGGACCAAGGAAGTCTAGAATGTGTGGAGTCATTGAGTTTTGTATAAACGGAAAGGCGCAACGAAAGTGGAAGGCGGCGCGATAGTTCGCCGCGCGCTCTAGCCATAGATGCTGGGGGACCCGAAAGATGGTGAAGCTTAGCAACTATGCCCTGTCAAGGTGAGGGTCGACGTCAGAGGGAAAACCCTGATTGAGAACCGTAGCGATTCTGACGGGTGGCAAATCTGATCGGGCTGGGAACTGGGTATTATGAGGGGGGCGAAGAGACTAAACTAATCTGCGACCATCTAGTAGCTGGTTTCCTGTCCGAAATTTTTCCCGCAGGATCGGCTGGCTGGTCGATGGACGAAAGCGTGTCGCTCATCCGGTAAAGCGCATGCTTAGAGGCATTGGGGCCGAAACGACCTCAACCTATTCTCAAACTTTAAATGGTGTGAGAACTCCGGCTACTCGAACGATGAAGCCGGAGATCTGATGACGTGCCAAGTGGGCCAATTTTGGTAAGCAGAAACTGGCGCTGTGGGATGAACCAAACTGTAGTGTTACGGAGGCGCCTAAAAAAACGCTCATGGGAACACCATGAAAGGGCGTTGGTCGCGATCGGCTCATGACAGCAGGACGGTTTGTGGCCACCATGGGAAGGTCGGAATCCGACTAAGGAGTGTGCAACGACTCACCTGCCGAAGCAACCAGCCCTGAAAATGGATGGCGCTGAAGCGTTTTGCCTATACACTACCGTTACACGGGGGGAAAAAAAAATAAAAAAAAAAAAAAAAAAAAAAAAAAAAAAAAAAAAAAATGGGAAACAATCAAAAAAAGTGCGACGTATGTCGTCATTAAGCCGTAACGAGTAGGACGAGTGCGCGGGCGGAGAGAGCGCAGGAAGGGTCTGGGGGCGCGAGCCCCAGCCTGGAGGCCTCCGTCGGTTGATGCAGATCTTGGGTTGGTAGTAGCAAATATGTCCAGCGAGGCCCCTGGAGGACTGCCGTGGAGAAGGGTTTCGCGTGATCAGTAGTTGCTCGCGAGTCAGTCGATCCTAAGCTCAAGGAGAGATCTTATGTACCGGTTCCTATTCCGGAACCCGGCAGCGGAACCGTTTCAATAATCGTTCCCTCGTTTCAAAGCGAGTGTTCGACGGGTAACCCAAAGTGGCCTGAAGACGCCGCCGAGGGGTCCGGGAAGAGTTTTCTTTTTTCTGCCTGAGCGTTCGAGTTCCATGGAATCCTATAGAAGGGAGATATGGTTCGGAACGCGAAGAGCACCGCATTTGCGGCGGTGTCCGGATACTCTCTGCGGACCTTGAAAATTCAGGTGAGGGATGTACGTGGAGATGTCGCGCCGGTTCGTACCCATATCCGCAGCAGGTCTCCAAGGTGAAGAGCCTCTAGTCGATAGAATAATGTAGGTAAGGGAAGTCGGCAAATTGGATCCGTAACTTCGGAATAAGGATTGGCTCTGAGGACCGGGGCGTGTCGGGTTTGGACGGGAAGCGGATGCGGCCGGTGCCGGGCCTGGTCGATGCTCGTGCGTCTCTCGGGGCGTGCGGGCTGAATCCGGACCCGCGTTCCGGCCCTCCGCGGAGCTTCTCCCTAGCCGTAAGGTCGCGCCTTTTTCGTTTCGTGCGCGATCGGCGCGCGCGACCTACGAACCGCCGTTCAAAACGGTCAGCTCAGAACTGGCACGGCCGAGGGGAATACGACTGGCTAATTAAAACAAAGCATTGCGATGGCCCTCGCGGGTGTTGACGCAATGTGATTTCTGCCCAGTGCTCTGAATGTCCAACGTGAAGAAAATTCAAGCAAGCGCGGGCTAAACGGCGGGAGTAACTATGACTCTCTTAGGTAGCCAAATGCCTCGTCATCTAATTAGTGACGCGCATGAATGGATTAACGAGATTCCCACTGTCCCTATCTACTTCGCGCTCGACCGTCGAAGCGTTCGGACGTGCCCGGAGTGCTCCGCTATTGTCGTTTTATCGTTTCTTGTGCAGAGCCTAAGTTAGGTTACCTAGTGTTTTCCTTATCTTGGGGCTGCACGTGCTACTACTCGAAATAGCTGATTTTTGTATTATTTATAGTGATTTTGCTATAAAGTGGTGCAGTAAATCTGTGAGTGACAGTGGGATTATAATCCCGTTATTTGTGTTATTTGTGGCTTTGGACGATCCTGATCGGTGAAGTACAACTTTTCCTATTATTTGTTAATATATTTAATAACATATTATAATTGTTTCATTGTTGCTCTGCTGATTTTAATCTAGGTTGAGGAGGAATCTTAGGCGCTAACCTGCTGTTAGTTTTATAGTGTTGCACATATGCTCGTCAGAGTGGTTGTCCAAAGTCGAATTTTGCTGGCTGGGGCTGTGTCATTGTTTGGCGACGTAACTGACATCTGTTCAGTTTCGGGCGGTCACGTGGGGACGGCTGTCATCTGCGGAGTTGACAGCCGTCAGTGTCCGATACACGGCACGAGTGAATGGCTGACTGGTCAAATTTCACAATGCTTGGCGCAGTTTGTCTTTTTGGTCGCGAGGTTGTTTGCCACAGCGGTTGGCGGGTCGGATCATCCCAGATGTTTGTTCTGAGCGGGGGTTTCGTCTTAGAGACGCTTCGCGCAACCTATTTACAACCTCACACACATAACGCGCACTGCCTAAACTCCCGTAGACTTCATTAATGCGTTATCGAGATTGTTACGTACGGCGAAACACCTTCGCACTGCAAACTCGATGGAGTTCCAGAGATGCATTAGGTTTTGGCTTGCCGTGTACATGGCGGATCAAGTCCGCGAGTGGGTGCCCCGGCCCCCAGCGTGCCCTCCATTAGGGTAAGGCAGTCTTTGCGCGGCGTTTCAAGACGAGATGGACCAGAAAGCATGGGGAGTCTGGATTTGGAAGCTCTCGATGGAGCTAGGTCCGCGAGGCGGGTGGCTTTATCAGCCTCAGGGCTCATTGGCCCACCGCGCGCCCACCCATGAGGTGGCTCTTCGTCTGCGCACACCCCCTCCGCCGCCCGCCAGCGCCGGCCCCCGGTCTGCCCCGTCGTCTCAAGCGTGCCGCGGACGTTATCCGCCGAAGATGTCCAGGGACGCTGTCCGCCGGCGAGTGCAGCGTCCCGAGAATGCGCAGGTGTCCCCATCCTTATTGTTGGGATCCTCAACTCCCGACGGGCCGGGCCCCAAAGGTCTGGCATCACCGCAAGCCCAACGGAAGTCTCTGCCAGCGACAAGTGGACCCTCTCTCGGACCACAACCAGTGTGGAGATCCAAGCAGACAGCGGTCAAAACGGGGACGTGCGGATATGGACAAGCAGTCCAGCTATCTGCGATGAGGTACCACAGAACCGCGATTAAAGGGGCGGGTTATTTTTGCGGAGCGGTCGCTATCGCACACAACAACTTAACTGCTGCCAGACAGCAGCTTATATCGGCCATACAAGACGGACGGCGGTGGTTTTCAGCCCTTTCAGAGCTTCGCCACTGCCTGAGAACGGAGGCTCCAGGTTACGGCCCTGAAGGCTTAACGTGTTGACAAGCATGGAGCTAGAGGCTGCTTTCAC